CTTAACTGCTGCCTGTATTTTAATATGCGATTATCTCTCGAATCTTTTCGAGGCGTTCCAGCGGCGGTTGGCCAAAGACTTGATTACACTCACCTTCATTAATTAATGCTGCGAGTTAAAACCCAACTGCACAGCTTAATGGCTTCAAAAGACTTTAAAAGGTATATGGTATATGGCATGGGCCTGAGCAGTATGTAATCCGATATGTGATATTGGTAAGCCAGTTGTTGAAAAACTGCACAGCTTGTGTGCATGTGAGTATTGGATCAGTTGCATAAGCCGCCGAATGAAGGCGAACAAATTCATCAAAGGAATGTAAAAAATTACAAAACATTTTTTGATTAAATACCTCGTAAAATATTAAATTACATTGATTATCGCTTTTATTCAATTTACTTGTATGCTGAAAAAAATTGCATTCCTCCTACGGTTGCAGGTAATGGCATTATTTTTAATCAACAGGATAAAAGGCAAAGCATGTTTTCGCATAATAATTTATTGATTGAAATTCATTAGATGTTGGCTTGAGGTGCATTCCAATTCATATTTAGGCATTTCCCGATTAAAGTTAAGCAAAATTTTCCAAATTTAAGTTTAATTTGTAAATAAATTACATGGACAAACATATTATTTTAAAATAAAGGCCACACTTGAAATAAAGAGTATTAAGTATGTTTGTGTTAAGTTATAAATTAAAATATATTTCTTAAGTTTATTCTACTGCTTTTATATATTCTGTCTAAGCAAAAACTTAAGTATTTTTGACTTTTTCCTGTTCCCTTTTAAGTTATTTTCCATTTTCGCTACAGTTGAAGGTAAATATTTTGCTTTCAAAGTCTTGGCTGTCTTTTATTTATCTTACCTAACAAGTCTAGCATACTCCCTTGGTTGTTAAATAAAAGGGTTATTTAATATTAAAAAATCACACATTTAGAATTAGCACAGCAGTTATTACTCAATTTTACTGAATTTTAACGTATAGAGTATGTTCAAAATGTTGACGTTCGTATTTAAGCGGTGGCATATTTTTTATGTAATGTTTGTCTCCATAAGTTATCCAAAATATATGCTTCAAAAAATCAAAAACTTAATTAATTTTTTTACTATATATTCTCTACCTTAATAAATTGATTGTGGTACAGAAATTGAGAAACTATCACTCCAATAACTAAATTGTATAATTGGTTTCTAAAGAATATCAAAATTGAGATATTTTTATGTATAAACAAGAAAGGAATGCTAAAGTCGAGCAGGCTCAACTCTTAAATACCCTGTACCACCCCACAAAAAAGTAATTAAATTAATTAATTAATTAAATTTAATTAATTAACTAAATTAATTTAATTAATTAACTAAATTGATTTAATTAATTAACTAAATTAAATATAAAATATTCCATGCATACATTTACATTTACATCAGAATCGTGCCTTATGCGTGTTTGTGTACTCGTACATATGTATGTATGTGTGCATTGGGCCTGGTTATATGGCTATAACTTTTCCGATCATTCTATCATAATGAGACTTGGTATACGGTTATATAATAACTAACCTAATGTGACTACCAAATTTGAGTTGAAAATTCCAAGAATTACTTGAGTTATAGAAAATCGGTAATAGGGGGGGAGTGGGGGGGTGGATCAGAAAAAATTAACAAACTCGTCCTTTCTCGGTCTCAGGAGAATCTGTATACCAAGTTTGGTTATTCTAGCTCTTATACTTTCGGAGATCCTTGCGTTCATACAGACAGACAGACAGACGGACAGACGGACAGACAGACGGACAGACGGACATGGCTATATCGACTCGGCTTGTCATGCTGATCAAGAATATATATACTTTGTGGGGTCTACCAAGCCTCCTTCTGTGTGTTCCATGTGCACTCGCACAAAACTAATATACCCTTGTACCCTTTGGGTACAGGGTATAAAAAGTAAATTTAAGGAAATTAAGCCGAATGTAATTTTCTAGTTTTCTTCTCACGTACTTGAACGCCTATTTGTTTTATGGGCTACAAGTATAGTACACCTTGGTATTAGTTTGACTCTGCATTGCTATTTTTCCAACACACCCATGCCATTATAAATTCGTGTGAAAAAACAAACAAAAATTGCCGGGTGAGTCTAATAATAAAATATATAATATAAAAAACTGATATTGATTAGGGATTAAAAGATATACGTTCAACGCAAAGAACGCCCTGAAAATATTTAACACTTTGGAGCTATTTCCATAAAAAGCTATTTCCATAAGAAACAATTTTATTTGATTTTAAGAACTATTTTTTCTTATTTCAGAGCATAAATCACATTTGTTATAATAATGAAACTTTTTACATTTTGTACAGTTTTCAAAAGTTTAAGGTTGTTTTGTTGCCTGAGCGCATAAATTCGAATACAAGTTATAAATGGCACCATCCATTATATGTATAGAAAAGAGTTTTTGAACTTATTTTAAATATCTGTACTTCTACTTGTAAGTGTGATTTAAGGTTCGGTTTCACTGCCGCAACATAACACATGCATTTACTATAGTTGATACATTTGCATAAATGCTACTTATGATTTATGGGCTGATGGCAATGTTGCATACAAAGTATTACAGCTTTTCTTATTGCTTGCCCACAACATTGTGGCGTGGAGTCGAAAAAGCAATTTATTTTGTGCCGACCAAAGCGGTTGCTACAGTTTAAGGCCTGCCAGTGGCTGACTTTCAGTTTAATTTTGGCTAATGCACCAGCGTCTTTGGCTTCGTCTCCATCCACGCCATCGCTCAGTCCCGGCATAATTAAAAATGTTGCGCCATCAAGCGACACCGAAAGACGATGGCATAAGCAGCAACCAAATCCCCACCCAAAAATGACGTGCAGCCCAAGCATTATTTGCCTTACTTTTACCAACGAAAGGCTGCAGTGGCAGTCATGGCGTACATGTCGTTAATATTATTTGTCTTGATAAACTTCTGCCACAAGACAATCGAAATTACTCAATCACGTCGAGGTGGGGCGGGCGGTAGTAGGCAGTCAGCAAAAGGCTTTTTATAAAGTTGCAGTTTCGCGTCAAATACAAACACAACCAAAAAAAAAAAAGATCTTCAAATACTTAACTCTCTTATAGACGTTCAAATACTCTCTGCCTAACCTTTTAGCCTTTATCTCAAAATGTAACTAACTTTCAATATATTTGATCTAAAGTATTTAAAAATGCATTTTTTAATTTATAGAAAAATACATTTTTATTGTGTACAAACATATGATTTTCTTTATAGGAATTGTTAATTAATTATTAACTATTTGTTGAATAAAAAATTTTTTTTACACTTGAACTTTTTACAAATGATTTTAAAATAATATGGTAATATTAAGATTTAAAATATTCGAAAGCATAAGCAGGATTTTTTTTACAATTCCATAGGATTTTGCGTATATTTTTAAGACAATTTCAAACAGGAAAACCTAAGAACTTAAGATGTGTTTTAAAAACAAATGTGAGCTCTTTTTTAACGACTTCGAAAAAAGGAGCTGATTCTGAATTTGCCTGTATTTTTGTGTTGTCAATTTATACAACTGTGCTGAACCGGAATAGGCGAGAGCATCCCACACCTATGTGTTTGGTAAAGTAAACAAAAGTTGATTCAAATAGAAAATTGAATAATAAATTGGAATAATTAAAAAAACAAAAAATGAACAATGGTTTCGAAGTACAATGGCACCTGAAAGGATAACAGTACTTACCTGAACAAATGATTTTATTGTTGTTGTTGCTCTGCTTCCTTTTGAAAAAGTCTGAAATTATTTTTGCCTCATTTTAACTTTCATAAGCGATGCATAATGCTTTCTTGTGTAGGGTAGATGAAGCTGCCATCATGCCGCGCCTTGTTATGGGTCTGAGAATGGGCCTGTTGGTAACAGGAGTCGGCTCAGCTGTCGTGTAATTGATGTGGCTGTTGTTGCTGTTATTGCCGTTTTTGTTGTTGTTGTTGTTGTTGTTATTGCTTCTCCCGTAGCGCCCACTATTTCGTTAAATGCCAAATATAATTTAATAGGAAGTGAAAACAAGCAAAGGGTACAAATTATTTTGTAGCGCCAAAAATAATGATTGATTTGTATCAGAAATTGGCATTATACTCGTATATGAGTAAAAAAGTATACACACTCCTATGTATGTATGTATTAATGTATGTATGTATAAACATTTATAAAAGTTCGTCAGTCTATAAAATTGTGGCCTGCAATTAGGGGAACCCAATTTTGTAATAGTTATTACTGTTTTGGTTACTTTTGGCTGCCAATTTGTGGCTGTGGTGCCTTTGTTGTTGTTGCTTTAGCGGATTTCCGCATAATAATATGAATTTAGCGCTGTTTGTCCAAATCGAGTTAGCATAATCGGCCATTATCCATTACCATTGCAATGGTCAGATGCAGTTGGTTTCTGGTGGCGTCTTTAGGCTCGCAGGACACGGCCATGGTGCAGAGAGCGTTGGCGTTGCCTTTGGGCCACCGAAATTGGTCGACACAATTGCTGTTATTTGCCGCTGATTTTCAGCTCACATTGCATCATCAGGTAGGTTGGCGAATTTGCATTACGTGGCATTTGTTTGGGCTTATTAACTGTGACTTCAATGGGCGCCCGGAGTTGTTTGTTTGCGGTGTCAGTTATTGCATGAATGGACTTGGGCTTTAGAAAGCATACTCGTATTGCAGTGTGTGGTATATTTTCGATTCGCCCGACTAACTTGCAGTCATGTGGCCCAAGCGAAAGGTGGAAAGGTGTTGCAAGTCTCCACAGTTGCAGTGGCATGTTAGCTAACTAGGTAAAGAAAGTTGTTCAAAAGCCAATGAATGGGCGCCTTTTCGTTATTTCGATTGATATGCACAGCATTACTTTATCAATAACTCCACTATAATATTTTAGTTTAAAGAAAGTTCAGCACACACTCGTAGCTGCCTAGACTTTAATGTCAAAATCAATTTGTAATTCTGGATTTTAGGAAGCCTCTCAAATGCTAAAACTAATTGCGACCAAACTCCGTCTCAGCTTGGAATTTCCCGGCTTTAGAGTACTTCATAAAATGGCCGAGAAGAAACTTTTGGCAGTACCGCTGGTGGATATAGATGAGCAGGGCGTATTCAAATATGTGCTTATTAAATTAAGTGCTAAACGGAGCTCGGAGGAGGCAAGCAAAACTATCGTGCGTGGCTATGCGGACTGCAAATGGCACGCCGATATTTTTAAACGTACTCAGGAGTCATTAAAGGAGACTGGCTTGGATATTTGTTGTCTTGGCGGGGGTCGCATTCAACATAGGCCAGACAAAAAGTACATTAAAGTCTATGGATATTCTCAAGGCTATGGCAAAGCGGATCACTCGGAGACTAAAAAAATTATCCAAACACAGTACGGGGACTACGAAATCGAAATTTCTGATGAAGGTTATTAAGCAACGACTCGTATTTTTTCGGCATTAATGCAACTTCCAATTAAATATCTGAGAAGAAAACTTTATCTACATTTAATACTACTTTATAATAGTTAATATATAATAATTAAAATGGCATGCTATACTTGTAGGTACATCGATAAAGCCATGTCAGCTACTGTGTTCGGTGTCTGTCCTTTTCTCTCTCTATGCATTTGTCTATGAATTCATCTGTACATTAGAAATATATAAACCTCTACTGCCTCATTACTTTATGTACCTGAATTAGGTACCATTGTTGCAAAAATACCTTTCCTTAGACTAACATTTTTGTTCAAAATATTGTCAAACCAATTATGGTATGTCAGAGTTTCTTAATGTTTATTATGTCTATGATCATAGAAGAAAAAGTTTTAAGATAGTGAAAGCTAAAGAGCTTTGGCGCATCCAAGCACAACTACTTTATTCAATTAAAATATAATTTTCATCATAGTATAGATAAGTTTTGAGTTAGCTTTTTTCAAGTCTTCAACAAATCTGAACACCTTCAACTGCCAGCTGATTTAAAATTTTGTAGTTGTTCCATTTGTTCTATAACAAGTGTACAAGTACAAGCGTGGTATGGGGAGTAAAGGACGGAGGCAGACAGTAAGTTTTACTTACTAAATCATTAAATCGCGCAAAAATAATTTTTTATTAAGATGCTGATTTCTACAATTGCCTTAAATACTCCTAAACGACTCACAACAATAACTCCTTTGAATTCCCTCATTTAACTCGTTATTTGATATTACGCTCTATTTTTCAATTGCTTTGCTTTACAGCCTCATGTGTAATGCTTTTCTATCCCGTTGCTTTTGACACCCAATTTGATGCACACGAGTTTCTAAATTGAAATAAATTGCTTTACGTTGCGTTCAAGAGGGAGCTGGGAGCTGGAAGCTGGAACCTGACATCAAACAAGCTGCAAAGCTGTAAAAATACCAGTAGATGTTAATGCTACCAGCATGCCCTTGAATTAGCAACAAACTAACTTAAATTCAAATAAATTGGTTCATTTATGCAATGGTCGCTGGACGTTGAGCGATGGAGTGGCTGCTGACAGGGGTGGGGGTACCCGCACCCATCCCCACCCGCACTCACAGACTCATTCGCTTAAATTAGATAGCCAGCCAATCATGTTGGCGTAGAATTAATGAGGGCCTTAGGCTGTTGCAGCAGCAGTGAGTGCAACAAATGCACCGACCTTGAGACTTAATTGCAGCGACCCAGCAAGCAAAGCTTTCGATGGCGGCGGCATTCCAAAAGCGGTCGAGACAAATGTGTGTCAAATGCAGCATGCCCTGGCAGCCAGCAGCGAACTAGCAACGTGACTAACCGACTTTCATGTCATAATTTTGTGCGCTCCTTGAAGTTCAAGTTGGCGATCGGCCCCGGCCCTTCTCCCCCTTCGACCAAGCCATGGTCTAAGCTCAATTAAGGTGCATAAATTACTTTCTGCCGCTGCTGTTGCTGCCGAGCCAAATTGAAATCGTAAATTAACATTTGCCAGACAGACGTCACGTGCAATAACTTTTACATTTTGACCAAATATTTTTGCAAATTTTCACTAAGAGCGACCCACGCACCAGTCAGCGGCAGCAGCAGCAGCAGCAGCAGAAGGAGCTGCAACAGTGCCACTAACAACAGCAACACCAACAACTGCAACAGTTGGGTGAATGTTAGAAAAATTGTCACCGGTCTTGTGAATTATTTGTTTGCTGCACTGCAGCGCAAATGAAATGAAAATGGTAGCAATTGCAGTGGACAACATGCAACTGTTGCAAGTTGGAAGTTGCCGGTGCTGTTCGGTGCTGCTGTCGTGGCCAAAAGTGACAGTTGCTAGTCAGTCAACACATTCCGGCTGCTGCCGTTGGCCTGGCCAAGTTGTTGCCTGATATTTTTATGTGTGACAGTTGCTTTATGTTACAATTTCTAACGCTTTTTGTTCGTGCTGGCATATACTACGACTATACATACATATAGTACATATATGTATATGAGTGTGTGTTTGTGTTGCAGGCATGCATTTTTATTTCAAGTGCACAATTTATTGCCAAGTTTACGCCTTGTGTCCAATACTGGCTACTGCCGCTAATCAGTCGGTCGTGGCTGCTTTGGAGCGACATCATCTGGCTTTCACTAGAAACATTGGGTGCAGTCTTTTCGTTCGTCCAACTCTAAATTAGCCGGAATGTGTGGCTGCTTTTATTACGGCCGTAGTATCTATTGGCATTTTTGATATTTCGTATGGCCTAAGATGGTGGCAAGTTCAGCGAGTCAGTGCCTATGTGGCACTCATTAGGGAAGCTTATCTGCACCAGAGACATTACATAATGACTACGTTTCGAACATACACACATATATACACTGTGCCGCTTCATCAACATCAACAACAACAACAACAACAACAATGAGGCTTGAGGAGTGCAGACGTTGTAGACGCCCCAACTAACTCTCTTTGGCCCCTTTCTGTTGGCCAAAAACTTTTCCTGTAACGAGCCGCCAACTCGAGTTGACTTCGGTAATATGAGCCTGCTGGTCGGTATGTTGTTGCTGATGTTGCTCTCGTTGTAGTTGCTGTTGTTGTGGCTGTTATAGCCGCTAGAGGTTGTTGCTTGGTAATAATGACAGTATGTGTCACATTGCAACCCACACGCATTCAATTTTACTGCCATGGCTGCAACAGCAACAGTAACAGCAACAGTAACAGTTACAACAGCAACAAAGGCGGCTCGAGCGTGGCTCTGGCGTTTGGGCACAGTATGGATTGTTGCTGTTGGTTCGTATGGTTTTGACTTGACTCTTAGCGCAAATTTGATCCAATTGTGCACTCATTTAATCGTGATCTTTATGAGAACGTACAGTTGGATGTGTTTAGCCTTTTATGTCGAACACTGTCGGCCTCCCCGTCCGGCCGTCCCCTACTGCTTCTCTGCTTTCTTGGCCTGCGGTGGGTGACCTACATAGTGTGCAAGTATTTGTGGTCGCTCTTCTTCTTCCCCTTGTTGCTTTTGTCATTGTTTAACTTAATTTGCTGCTCTTGTTGTCGTTGCTGCTGCTGCTGTTGTTGTTGTTGTTGCAGGGGCTTCATTGCTATCATGGTGCAGTGCAATAATTATGTAAAAAAAAACATGTTAAGCGTTTAAGGAAGTTAATTAAATGGAAAAATATATCGCATGTTTATTAAACGATCTTGCGGGGGCATCTTTAAGTGCCAGGAGGCAGGAGCTGAGGGGCTCATCTCATAACAACTTCTCAGTCTTTTGATGATCGCCCGCAATTGCGGAAGCGTACATATATTTGTGTTTATTTCGAAAGCTTTCTCACATTCAGCTCAGAAATTAAATTGCAATATATAACTAAAGCTATTATTCGCAAAGTTTTGTTTTTAGTACTATATAATTGCTGTTATTCAAGCAGAAGCAGGAAAGCCTTTACGAGGTTTAGACAGATCATCCAATATGTGATCGGAATGGACGGGATCTGGCATTCGTCTCTGGGTAGGCTACGATTACTATTTTCTAAGAAGGATTACGATTCTTTTCCCACACCTTTTTGCTATAAATGATGTTCGGATAACTAAAGGAGTGATCCGAGCACTTGTCTTTTTGCTCCCAATGCATCACAGAGTTACTTTTTTTAATTCATGAAATTATCTTATTTCAAGCGCAATTTCTTATTCTCTGCCTGAAGGTCATTGTCAAATTATTTCAATGTGACCAATAAAGAGCTGTGCCCGCACACTTATGCCGATCCGTTCCGGAACCAAAGCCAAATCGCTGACCTAGTCGTGATCCGCTGATGTTGCTTGCGAGGCTAAGCAAATCATAAAAGTGTTTGACATTAAGGCGCACTTCAATATAATTTCACGCTGCCTTGTTCACAGCAAATTGTATAAAATCTTGGCACATTTGTTTCACATTTCCTGTCGCGTACCCGGCCTTCATATGTAATTAAGCCAGTTACTGTAATTGGTGCAGAGATAGACAATAATTTCGCGTAGAGGCGCGTGCAGAGATGTATAATTAAGCTACAGCCGGATATGGAAATTAGCATGATTAGACGAGCTGTTTGCGCTGCTCTTTGCTTTAAGATTTTCGACAGGTGCGCCGAGCCGAAATGTGTTGAATTATTTGATTGTTTGATTCACTTGAAGACTGCTTGCAAGTGCGAACAGTGTCAAGGACGTTGTGACTGAGGCAGTGTGGCTACAATTCACTTTAAATAATTGCTGCCTAAAAATTGGCAGCTCTGAATTCAATTTGGCAATGTTTTATGAGCGGGGTGGCATTAGCTGGTCGGCGAAAGCTTCGCAGCCGCTGCCTAAGATGTTGCTCAACTACCTCTGATTTTGTGCGATGCATTTTCGTTGTTTTTGCTATGAATAAAACATTTGAAGGCGTTGCTGCTGCACCAACAGAAACAATAACTAAAGGCGTCGCTGCTACTTTTTGTTGCCTTGTCCCCCCCTTCTGTGCACCTCGTGCCATGTGCCCCGTGCCTGAGCGCGCACATGATACTTAGTTTGTCTACTGGCTGTACTGGCAGGGTATGTGGAAAGCCAGGCCCGGCGAAGCGGTAATACGTCAATAACCGTTTAGCGTACAAATTGAAATTTTTATTAGTTACGGACACCAGCAATAGCGGCAACATTCGCAGCAGCAGGAGCAGCAGCAACCCGCGAACGGAGAGGCTGAATCACAAAAAGCAAACTAAACCATAAACCCCGAGGCCTCAGAGCAAGGAAAAAAATGAAACAGACAGCTACTTAGACAGGCGCTCTCTAGTCGCGGGGGAATCGACGGTTTGGCGATGGCGATGGCGGTGGCGGTGGCAGAGTCAACGGCGTCCAAGGAAGCCACACGAATGCTGCGCGCAAAGATATCGCCAGAGATTATGTTTTAGAGACGGCGGCGGTTGCATCGGTAGCAGCTGCCACCATTGTTTTTGTTGTTGGCCTCTCGGGCGCTATGGTAGCTTGTATCACGGTGCTGGCATCTGTGCAATGTGCAACACTTGCAGCCAGTAACGACAGACAACCTGG